TTTGTATTGTTTAATGGACTTTGATATTGAATACTGTTCGTTATCTCCATATCCTTCACGAAAATCAAACAGAACCAAAATAAATGAGAGCAAAGGAATTTCACAAAAATTATTTTATCACAAAATTTAGCTATCACAAAACACACTTTTCCCGTGTTTCTGTCGATCAATTAGCACGCGACAAATCTCGCGGCTTAAACATAAGAAATTTCGCCGATATAGAACGACGATTAATTTGTGACGTAACAGTACCGTTGCCGTCTAACAATTCCTATGTTGGACTGGCAGATCGGTCATTGCACAGGCGCTCGACGTTTTGAACCTTTCTTTTCATAAATAAAATTTCCCCTATATTATAATATAGGGATGTTTTAATTTATGAAAAGTTAAAAACGTTAAGCGCCTGTGGGTCATTATTAGGATAACGGGATATTGTAAGATTGATGGTGTAAACATTTTTTGTTGGACTTTTCATTAGTAATAAATATAGACATATATTTAAAGGGTATAAAAGAAGAATTTGATTGTAGACCTTTACTTACAACTTACTCAGAATTTTGTTTTAAAATCACCGTTTTCTAAATATACCTCCTTGTGAAAACTAAGTGATCCGTTAAAACCAAACAACTGTGAGAAACTATATTTAAAACTTTACTCAAGCGTTTATTCTCCACCTGTAACCAGGGATGGGGTCAATTACTTTAAAAAGTAATTAATTAAACTACAATTACCTTGACTTTTTCTTCAATTAAATTACAGTCTTTTTAAGACATGTAGTTAATTAAATTACCATTACTTTGCAAAAGTAATTAATTAAATTACAAATTACATTTCTTTTTCTTTGGAAAAATTTTACGATCAATGAATATACAGAACATCATCCATTTATTTATATCAGTAAGTGCAGCCTCTGCACAAACATTTATAAGAAATGCTATAGCCATTATATATCTGTGTAGTTTAATTTCTAATTTTTATTTACAAAACATTGAACACCTATCTGAGATCAGCTTGATGCAGCTTCCTGCACATAAATCCTTCATGTAAACAAATCGTATGGCTTATGATATTTGATTAAAAGTATATTTTAATTTAATAGAGTAATACGACGATACACAACTGTAACTCCTAGATTAAATATTTCCTTTGAAGGTAACCTGAACATCCTAAACTGCTATTCATGTTGAACATTAAACATTTTTTACTTCATAGATAATACTTGTACAGAATATAACTTCAGATGCAAAATTCATTCTTAAAAATCTATTAAGATGTTAAAATAATTATCAAATTGAAACTTTTTTTCTTTTTTAAATCAATCAAAGCATTTGAAATAATTTGCTCTACTGGCTTCCAAATCATAAAATGAATACCTCCTTAGAGGAGTTTTGTTTTGATTTCATTACAGCTGTGATTTGGAGGGCAATTCTATCTTCCCAACATGAGAGAATTAAATTAATGACACACTCATTCTGGTTCTTTATTATTACTGATCAAGCACCAAAGATTGAAATATAATATATGTGTGTTTCATAGCTGAATAGATATAAGAAAGATTGTACAAAGTTTGAATATCATAAATTTTAAACAAAAATATCAAATTTTAATATTTTGTATAAATGTATAATTGAAGGATTGAGAATATGTTTTATAAAAAATTAGAAAAGAGAGTAAAATAGGGAGGATGTGGTGAACAATTAAGAAATAAACAACGTTATTCAGTGAACATGGCGTTATAAATAGCAATTGCTCTGCTGGCATATTCCATGATGCGCGCTAGCGCATCATGGAAAATATGCCAGCAGAGCTATTGCTATTCATAATGCCATGTTCACTGAATAATCGTTGTTTATAACTTATATTTACATTCTTTGATTTTTTTTTCAAGAATATCAGAGGAAATCCTGACTTACATAAGGACACGGCTTCTTGTCTTGAGTAAAGAAAAACATACGGCTTTGAAATCAGTACACCTGATCAATGCTCCTTTTCTCTAATAAATCACAAACAATCTATAAAGTATTTCCCTCTCAAACACAATTATCTGGATACAAGCAGCGCCGTCATAACATTCTCTTAATTTTTGTTTTGATACAGTTGCGACGTCATCGATCAACGTTACTGACAAAAATTAATAATTTAACACTATGAAGAAAAATGAGAATGCTTTTATAATGATTATTACTCCAGAATTCTTTTCTATGATTTTTTTTAGTTTTTCTATTTATTTTTTTAATAGCTTAAATAATTCATGAAATAGACATACTAGTTAAAGAAATTTTCTCTTTCTGAATGTTATTACCCAAGTGTGAAGAGTTATCGTTCTTTGTACAAATATGCATGATACAAAAAAATTAAAATATGGCAGTTCTCTCAATTTTTAAAAAGTTTTATTATACAATTAAATACATTAACAAAAATTAAATTTTTAAAGATATAAATCAGCAATTTTAAATATTCTGAATTTCTTTTTTTCCAAAGAATATTATTAAAAACTTATTTTTATTCCTCTTATGAAATATTTCATATATATACTTCTCAACACCTTAAATCAGTGTGGCAGAGTTTGTGCTACACGAGTGTGATAGAGCAATTGCATTCATAGCAGGAGCAGTTGCGTCTACAGTCCTATGAACGCAGTTGATGACTGCACGTTTATAGTGGGAGAGAGCAGTGGATATGCAAATATTATATAATGGATTTATATTATATAAGGTAATTGAATGTAATGGAAAAAGTAATTGAAATTACATGAAATTTTTTCAGTGTAATTAATTAAATTACAATTACAAGTAATTGAAAAAATGTTCAATTACAAATTACTTCCAATTCCTTAAAAAATATAATTAATTACAATCAATTACAATTACTTTTTTCAATTACCCCATCCCTGCCTGTAACACCCCTACTAATGTGTTCGGAACATTTTATCTTTAGGTGATCTGTTAATTATAAAACCCGATGAGTTCAGAGTAGCTCTGGCGATAGTTAGCGAGACTACAGCAAGATAGGGTAAATTATTCACGGAAATGTGGCTAGGAAGTGACTAGCACGTGGAGGCATGGTAAACAGAAAAGTTAAGTTGCGTTTCAGTTTTCAATATCCTATAATATCTTTATGTATACACTTCAATGCATCTCCCTTGAATTCTTCAAACTTAAATAAGTATTCTCTATGATATAATTTTCTGCAGTCATGAATTAAAAAATATTGGACAAATATTTTTATAGGAACCGGGACTATATTTTTTGGCGTCAGACTAGCAAACGAGGTACCAATATGACTTTAACTGACAAATCAGCTGAATGAGAATGCATTATGGGTTACTAAGAATACTACAGGAATTTTACGCTTGAAAAAAAGGGAAAATCTTAAGGCGATCTGAAAGGCACAAAAATAATTTTCCCATCCATTTCGTATATAAAAAGCATATTTAGTATTCCATTATTTTCGTGCTCAAAATGACAAACAATTCATTTGTTAAATAATCGGTGGAAGTCTAGGTTTCTCAAAATCATTCCGCAAAGCGATTTGCATCTGTATTACTTATTTCCTTTTTTGTACTCTCGGTAAATACAATTGTCAGGTGGATTCCCTGGCCAAAACACGTGATCACGAGTATAGTTATGTAAAAAATCTTTTGTCCATTTAAATACATGAGATACTACTCATTTTCCTTACCCTTGAAGCCCAGGTATTCTGAACTGGACACTACATTTTATTAAACATATTTTACTATCAAAATCAAATTAAAAACTCCCGAGACATCTTTTATAGTTTCTTATCTTTAATTTTGATTATAAAAACATTTTTTCCACTCCATTGACATGATCATAGATTGACCTGAACCACTAGTTCGAAGTAAAATGTAAACATGTATTTGGCGTAAACGTTGCTGTTTCTTCAACGTTTGGTCTGTTGCTCGTGGTAAGACCCTCTGTGCGCATTAATAACAATAACCATATAAGGCAAACAAAGGTTTGTCAGTGTATATGATATTAGACATTTTTTACTAGCGTATCGGTAGCTAGTAAGCTCTAATTTTCGCCGTAAATTGTAATAAGATAAAATATGATACTTTCCTGTAAATAAGTTGAATCTGATTGGTGGAAACATTTGTTAAAAAACACTATTACCCGCTGAATAATGAAGCCACGCCCTCCAGCGTAGCAACAGTCAACATTGCTTGACGACGGGTGATATTCCAAAAAATAGCGACTGCGCAGAATTAATGCGCGCACGGTTCACTGTTATATGTGTTTTTATAAAACATTCAATATAATATAATAAATATTGCATGTAGCTGAGTGTAACATTGAAAATTTTCACCCCCCAAAAAACCATTGTCAACCGAGGCGCAAATGGTTTTCTTGGGGTGAAAATTTTCAATGTTACACTCAACTACATGCAATATTTATAGATTGTAATTTAAACCTCCATCTGTTAGTCACCCTTTTCTGTTGAAAATCATGAAAGTCTTTCAGAAAGGTCTGGAAACACATTTTTCACTGGTCATGTTTAAAAAAAAGACTATAGGAATTTCCTGTTCACTGCCAATTTCATATATTATACTTTTATGTAAAGTAGTTGAATCCGATTGGTCGAGAAACATTTGTTAAAAAACACTATTACCCGCTGAATAATGAAGCCACGTCCTCCAGCATATGAACAGTTAACACTGCTTGACGACGGGTGATATTCCAAAACAATAGCGACTGGGCAGAATTTATGCGCGCACGGATCACTGTTATATGTATTTGTATAAAACATTCAGTATGATATAATAAATATTGCATGTAGCTGAGTGTAACATTGAAAATTGTCACCCCTCGAAAACCATTGTCAACCTTGGCTGCGCCTCGGTTGACAATGGTTTTCGAGGGGTGAGAATTTTCAATTTTACGCTCAACTACATGCAATATTTATATAATATAGAACCAGTTCTACCCCATAACCTTTGATTGATCAACCTAAACCACGTGTCTAGAATTTAAATCACGATAAAAATAGTAGGGGTGTGTAAATATTCTACCTTATAAGAGGTAATGCATTTCATTGTTCAGGACACTTGATGATAGCTGATCCATGGATGAACATAAGGATAGGGTATTTCTCATCACAGGTGAGCAAAACTAAGACAGAAATCAATGTATGAAATATTAGAATACTTCTTATGACGGTGGTGCATTTATCCTAATGTTAACGTGCTGCAGGTTCCAGCTCCGGTATTGGGAAAGGCATTGCTGTCCATCTCGCCAAGACCGGAGCAAGGTTGTCCTTGACAGGAAGAAATAATGTCAATCTAGAGGCGGTGAAGGATAAATGTGTGAAGGAGGGTTTATCCCCTGACAAAGTTAGTTACTGAATATTCATAAGATTCTCACCAATGAGTTAGAATAATTTTTTTAATGAATATAATTTATGGGTTTTTTTTCCTACTTAGATTCACATGCACATTAAATGCAAAAACCAAGGCAAAACAACATGAATTCTTTCATGTTATTACGCTAAAGTTTACATGAAAGAAAGTTTGATTGAATCTTTTTTAAATCTATTCGTAGAATACTTTCAAAAAATCAGATATTTTGCTAATACGAGGATCATTCAAAAAGTTCCTAGACTTTTGTCCTAACTTTTTTATTTAACGTTATATAATATCCAAATTTGGTACACATATTTTAACTATAAATTCGAATAATTTTAGTAAAAAAATTGGAATATATCTTCATATTAAAAAAAAATTCGCCAAGATTTAGAACAGCAAAAATGGGGTCACGGAGCAACGTCAAAACTGAGTTATTTACTAATTTTCATTTCAAAGTATCTATAGCCATACCTCTAATAAATGGAGCTGAAACGAAATAAATTTAGTCTTGCTGTATTACTTAAGATGCTATCAGGTAATGTAATATATCGTTCCATTTACGATGGAGGACGTCACGGAACAGCGAGTAGCAATAAAATTTTGCGTTGCATTCGGGGAAACTTCTGTATAAATCTTTAAAAATTCTGTTAAAACCAGGAAATATATGAAAAATAAGCAGTGTATTTGTATAAAATGGAAAATACATTTTTTGAGTGGTAGCAAGTTTAAATCGGACGATTGATGGTCTGCAGATAAACAGGTTATAGTTTTAAAAATCTTGTTAAAAGAGTATGAAACGTCTTTAAAAGTGAAGTGCGCTTCAATGTTGCGGAATTCATAGAGTTACCGGTAAAAAAAACAAGAGGCCCATCGGCCACATCGCTCACCCGAGCATTGTGGCTAGGAAAAAGTAGTAAGTGGTTTACTATTGAAAAGATTAAATCCTAAAGTTTGGCCCCGCCCTACCCCCGGGGGTCATGATTTGTACAAACTTGAATCTAAACTACCTGAGGATGCATCCATATAAATATGAGCAATTATGGCTTTGCTATTCTTGAGAAGTAGATTTTTAAAGAGTTTTCCTATACATTTCTAAATAAAACTTTGGTCAGCCATTGTGGCCCCGCCCTACCCCCGGGGGACATGATTTGAACAAACTTGAATCTACACTACCTGGGGATGCTTCCGCATAAATATGAGCAATTATGGCTCTGCTGTTCTTGAGAAGAAGATTTTTAAAGAATTTTCCTATATATTTCTATATAAAATTTCGGTCAGCCATTGTGGCCCCGCCCTACCCCCGGGGGTCATGATTTGTACAAACTTGAATCTAAACTACCTGAGGATGCATCCATATAAATATGAGCAATTATGGCTTTGCTATTCTTGAGAAGTAGATTTTTAAAGAGTTTTCCTATACATTTCTAAATAAAACTTTGGTCAGCCATTGTGGCCCCGCCCTACCCCCGGGGGACACGATTTGAACAAACTTGAATCTACACTACCTGGGGATGCTTCCGCATAAATATGAGCAATTATGGCTCTGCTGTTCTTGAGAAGAAGATTTTTAAAGAATTTTCCTATATATTTTATATAAAACTTTCGGTCAGCCATTGTGGCCCGGCCCTACCCCCGGGGGTCATGATTTGTACAAACTTGAATCTAAACTACCTGAGGATGCATCCATATAAATATGAGCAATTATGGCTTTGCTATTCTTGAGAAGTAGATTTTTAAAGAGTTTTCCTGTACATTTCTAAATAAAACTTTGGCCAGCCATTGTGGCCCCGCCCTACCCCCGGGGGACATGATTTGAACAAACTTGAATCTACACTACCTGAGGATGCTTCCGCATAAATATGAGCAATTGTGGCTCTGCTGTTCTTGAGAAGAAGATTTTTAAAGAATTTTCCTATATATTTCTATATAAAATTTTGGTCAGCCATTGTGGCCCCGCCATACCCCCGGGGGTCATGATTTAAACAAACTTGAATTTACACTACCTGGGGATGCTTCCATATAAATATGAGCAATTATAGCTTTGCTGTTCTTGAGAAGAAGATTTTTAAAGAATTTTCCTATATATTTCTATATAAAACTTTGGTCAGCCATTGTGGCCTCGCCCTACCCCCGGTGGTCACGATTTGAACAAACTTGAATTTACACTACCTGGGGATGCTTTCATATAAATATGAGCTATTATGGCTTTGCTGTTCTTAAGAAGAAGATTTTTAAAGATTTTTCCTATATATTTCTATATAAAACTTTGGTCGCCCATTGTGGCCCCGCCCTACCCCCGGAGTTCACGATTTGAACAAACTTGAATCTACACTACCTGGGGATGCTTAAGAAATAAGGTATCGTTTTTTTAGTTTTATTGGGATGTAAAACAGGTTGGTCACGTGATCAAATCACATAAAGCCCGAAGGGCTTTATGGAAGATTTGATCATGTGCCAACCCGTTTTACATCCCAATAAAACTCAAAAAATGATACCTTATTACTTATATTTACATTTGTGTCTTATTCATACTTTAAATTTGCCTGATTGTGACTCTTAACGTGTGAAATGCAGTATTTTTCAAACCCAACGGCATGTATGTAATCCACTGAACGCGCGTCGACCCTTTATGACGTCACTGAGAAACTACGTCGAACGTTTATCCATACGCACATCTATGACCTCTTGACCCTGTACCTGTATTTATACAGTTTTAAATACGCTTGCTTTCAGTAGTGTTATATAAAGGAAAACATTTGCAAATGTAAATATTTCCATATAAATATGAGCAATTATAGCTTTGCTGTTCTTGAGAAGAAGATTTTTAAAGAATTTTCCGATATATTTCTATATAAAACTTTGGTCGGCCATTGTGGCCCCGCCCTACCCCCGGGGGACACGATTTGAACAAATTTAAATCTACACTACCTGAGGACGTTTCCCCATAAGTTTCATCTTTCCTGGCACAGTGGTTCTTGAGAAGATTTTTAAAAGATACCACCAAATTTTCACTAATTCTCAATTATCTCCCCTTGAATGAGGGCGTGGCCCTTTATTTGAACAAACTTGAATCCCCTTCACTCAAGGTAACTTTGTGGCAAGTGTGGTCGAAATTGGCCCAGCGGTTCTTGAGAAGAAGTCAAAAATGTGAAAAGTTTACGGACAGACAGACAGACGGACAGACGGACGATCAGAAAAGCTCACTTAAGCCTTCGGCTCAGGTGAACTAAAAATGAAAAATACTGATAATATAGTTAAAGCTTTTTGCACAATTGTTAGCAAACTAGGTATCAAGTGTTACGTTTTTATGATGGAGAAGACGCTACAAACCGTGTACATATATACAATTAAAAAGCATATGTAGTGATTTTTAAAAACTTTCTTGACCTTGTTTTTGGCGTTACAATGTTGGTTAACCGTGCTCCGTGGTTACAAAACATGTTGCTTTAAAAATTGGCTGAGATGAGTTCTATTTATTCAAATGGAATGAAACTTCACCCTTCGACAAAATAAATTTAGTTTAAAATGTGTTGATCTTAAATCTTGTAATAATAATATGACGATGAGGGAACATTGTCCTCGTATTTTTTGAATGACCCTCGTATATGCCAAACTTATTAAAAGTGTTTCAGTGACAATTGTTAACAAGCATTCTAAAATTAGTGTGTGCTTCACACCTAAATTGGTAAGTGGCGTTATTGCACTGTGCCTTCTGGTGCAATCCATTGCGAGACGTCGACATTACAATATAAGCTACTTGACTCACAGTGTACCTCTTAGCGAGACAGCTGGAATTTCAATGTTAATGTTTTCTAGGGAATTCTTAGCGATGTTATATTTTACTGCTTGTGCTTTACCATGAAAGGCGAAATAAAACTCGCCCATTATACCAAAAGGTTGAAATTAAATTCCGTTTTAATGTTCTACGTATCTATTTCACAAAGGTTCTCCTCTGCGTGGGTGACTTAACTTCGAGAGATTTTAGAAAGTCGCTCGTTGAACAAACAATTGGACATTTTGGAAGACTGGATGTTCTTGTAAGTAATTTATTAAATATTTCTTAGACTGTAACAATATGAATGTTTAAAACAATCACTGCGTTGTAACTCAAAATTAAATAGATCTGAAAAACTGCTGCATACATACACATTTTGTATGTTATTTGACAATAGACGATAAGAACCAAAAATGCAGTGTTTTGGAGATCGAATCAATTGGTGTGCCCCGCTTTCACAAAATGGGGAAATATTAATTTCGGTCCGCCCGTCCGTTTGTATATCCGTTTGTCTGAAACATTTTCGTTTCCAAACAATATATTGAGAAGCCTTTGAGCTTCTGTAATAATAAATACCATTTGGCCTAAAAAGGAACCTATCTATTTTAAGCTGAAATTTACAAACTTCAAGTCGTAAATTCATACATTCTGAGAGTGTGTGTACCTTTCATTTCCTGGCGATATCTCAAGAAGTTTATGCAATAAATTTTATGCTTTTTCCATATGGCCCCTGTTAACCTTATTAACAGATATGTATAAAACCAATAGAAGATGAGTTAGGTGTCATGGAGGGGAAAGTATCTCTTGTCGATCAGTCACTTCCGCCTTGAGCTTTTTTCAGCATCTGATTAACGGAAAATCTACAGACAATTCAATATGTAAAGGATGCCCCGACAATGAGTACGATTTTTTTTCATTTTCTTTGAAGTTAAAAGACATAATTATTTAATTTAAATTTATGGAGATCATGAACAGTATTTAAGCTTAAAAGTCAATTTAACAATATACACTATACAATATACAAACATGGACATCCTTAACATGAAACATATGGAGATAACAAACAATATTATATAAGATGATATTTTCGTAGTTTTCATTGGCTGAAAGTACGTCACGTGATATTCCTCCTTTTGAGATATCGATGCGAAAGCGCGTCCGCGGAAAATGATATCACACGACACGCCGTTCGGTTGCACTAAAGTAACGTAGTACGTGACGTCATAATATAAGAAGCGCGAATTTAACCATTCTGACGTAATGACAGCGAAGTCCGTTCAGTTAGGACTGTGTCAGTGCAATAACTTTGAGTGATTATATAATATAACTATTATGGACTTCAGTGAACCTCGCAGGCTCGGTCGCTATCACTTTCTGTGTCTTCGGTCAATATCAATTGCCATGAGTCCTTATAACCACATATAGATCTACATTGAAGTCCATAATTGTATATTATTCAAGATCAAAAGTCCATTAAATATGCAAAACAGGAGCAGAGCAAACACGGACCTCCAAAATATCAGAGGTGGGATCAGATGCCATGGAAGAGTGAGCATCCCCTGCCGACCCGTCACACCCACCGTGTGCTCCTTGCATTGATCGGGAAATAACGGAAAAATCCGTCGTCAATTCAATGTATAAATAATGGACTAACAATTAATATGAAAAAGGTCAGTCAGCACTTGACTCAATGAAGTTCATTGTATCGACCATAGAACTTACGAAATGATGACTTTCAACGAGACTGCTGATATTCTTGTTTCATCAACTTGTTTGTCAATAATTTACCTCGTTTTAGAAATTGTTCATACGTAGAGCATGCTCTTGCGTATAAAATTAACCGAGATACATAAACTCCGTATGCAGGTGATGAAGGTATAACATCTCAGGGGTGGGATCATGGAAGGTATAGAATCTTCTGCCGCTTTGACTCGTCGTTTGCTCCTTGTCATGATCGGAATTGACAGAAGAAAATCTGTGGACAATTCAGTGTTTAAATAATGAACTTAACAACAATTATGTATGTATTCAGTCAAAATTGAAGAGTTCAAGTCATCAAGTTTATCAAAAAAGCTTGATTGTTAGATTACTATTAACGTATTTTAAAATTTCAAGCAAAATATCCAAATACGAAACATATGTATCAGACTTTGTGATAACATTTATTTATACAAGGTAAATAATGCTGGTACGGGGAAGCATATGCCATTTTCAACGGAATCAGAGGAGAACTTTGACGAAACCATGAACGTCAACATCAAGTCAGCGTATTTTCTCACACAGCTGTTGATACCATATCTCAAGGCAACGAAAGGTGTGTATAGTGGTCATGAAATATATGGAGATACCGAACGGTATTCAAGCTCAAAAGTCCATTCAAAATACAAATTTTGAAGCAAAGCACCTTTTTATCAAGAATCAATGGAACAGGAAGGATAAAATTGATGTGTAATCATTGTCAGATAGTGTAGATTCAAACTGGTCCAAAGCATGACCCCCAGGGGTAGGTCGGGGCCACAAAGTTTTACATTACATAGGAATATATAATGAAATCTTTAACAATCTTCTTCTCACGAATAGCAAAGCTATGGTGGGTCACATCTATATGGAAGCACCCTCAGGTAGTGTAGATTCAAGTTTGTTCAAAGCATGCTCCCAGGAGTAGGATGTGGCCAAAATGAACGTTAAGATTTTAAGGGAAAAAAGTCACATTTAGAAAAAAATAAATTTGTAAGCATCCTTATTTAGTTAGTGTATATTTAACTTCGTGCAAATCATACCCCTTTCCTCGTTAGAGGTACGTCGGGACCACATATGCATTTAAGTTTATTTTAATACTGAACTGTTTTTGCCTATTTCCTAGTCTCAGTGCTCTTGTGAGCGATGTGGACCCTTGGGTCTTATGTTTTTGTTTACTAGTATATTGACGTTGTGATAGTGACTGTTTGATTTTTCATTGGTTAAAGAGTAAGAAAATGTACTTGTCAAAATTTATGAAAACTTAACATGTCACACCATGCGTTATGTATCGTTGTTGAAAGACATTGTATTTTTTTTCATTCTTTTCAGGTTGCATCATCAATATATCAAGTATACTGTCTACTTGCGCATTGAAGGTATTCTTAAAGTCACCGAATAAAACCTTTTTTAATGGACAAATCATAGATATTTATAATAAAGAAAACATTTATTTCTGAAGACCTCTTTTCCATACATTTAGGTGCCTGGATATTGTTCTTATTCCATGTCCAAAGCAGCCATGGATGCCTTTACTAGAGGATTAGCACTGGGTATGAATTAACTCGTCTATTCACCTTTGGAGTCGTTACGGTTTTTAAAGTGTGATGTTATGGTATCAAGCAGAGCAAAAGTGCTTGAAATTATTCATACTTATCCATGAAATCAATCCACAAATTTGACTATGTTAATCTTATGTATTAGTAAACAAGTTATTGCACTCGCTAAATTCAATACAAAGCAGTTGAATTACATAACAATATTAAAGCAGACATGACACTTTTACTCTCCTGTTTCAGAGTTAGCGCCCTTTGGAGTGCGAGCAAACACAGTAAGGTATGTTTAAACAAATGAAAAAAACAAAAAAATATTCCATTGTGAAAATTTGAAACAACGTTTATGTGAAATGAGGTACCAAACAAATTGAACTATGTATTTCTTAAGAATTTATTTGCTCTGTCTATTCAGTTTTTGTTCTTTAACAGGCCTGGACTAATTCGAAGCAATTTTCACAGACGTGATAACTTTCCTGGTTTGGGAGATGAAGAATCGTACAATAAGGTTATATAATGTGACGAATCATGTATCTCAAAATATTTAATTTTAAAATGTTTTTATTAAGTGGATTTATTACTTTAAACGTAATTAAAATACGGGAAAAAATATGGAGATTAGAAACAGTAATGAGAATCAAAAGTTAATTGAAACGGTACAGATTGGGAGCAGAGGAAACACGGACAGCTAAAATATGAAAGGTTGGATCGAGTGCCATACAGGAGAAAGCATCCTTTGTCGACCAGGCACGACCTCCATTGTCATAATCGGGCAAACAGAATTCATTTTCCTTTTTATTCTAGCAGTGCCTTCTTTCATCCTACCATTCATATCATTCCGGATACAATAAACCTAATTTAAAATATGTTACTGTAAAGAAAATAAAATAAATGACATGATTGAATAAATCTACACTACCTGAGGATGCTTCCATATAAACAGTTTACAGATCAGTGCTTTTGCAGTTATCATAAATACAAAAGTATAAAATCATATTTTAAGAAAGATTCATTAATTTAAAAGTTCTAAATACGAGTTATAGGGAATTACAACATTAAAAAAATTAATACACATTCCTCATGATGAAGAAAGTATTTGGTAAGATATTAATATGAATTATCTTTATATTATACAATTTTATTAATTTGTTTTACTGAGGACTAACACTGAAATACATGAAATACTTTACTGCATGCATTCCAAATATCATGTGTTCCAGTTTCTTGATACGTATGCAAAAGAGAATCCCTCTGGTCGAGTCGGTGAGCAGGAAGACGTATCCACGGTGGTCGCTTTCCTGGTCTCTGATAAAGCATCGTACATCAATGGAGGAGATATAGTCGTGGATGGTGGACGTTATGTCCAGTACTAGAAAGGACTGTAAAAGCGGCATCAAAAAACTTAGAAGTCAATATCGTTGTCATGATGATATTTTTTTGGAATTGAGACAAATAGAATACACAGGAACAAAATTTACATTTAAACTAATTGGATGTAATGTATAATAAATGTATATTCGTAACAAGTTTTTGATGAAACCAGAAGAACTCTTTTAAACAGTTAGAGATAGAATTTATCGCAATTAGTAACCTGTTAATCAGTTACTCTTTCTGATCGATGGTAATCGAGTAGAAAATGTGAAATCGGTTAATAGGGAAAAAAAAGAATGTTAATAAATTTTAACGCAATATTCTAACAATCCTTTTTTTTTTTAAATGAACATTCTGTGTTAACGTTGTTATTATAGTTATGGTTTCCTGATCGAGATCGCAGGATTATTAGTCAGTTTTTGAAGTGTTTTAAAATAACTGTCTGTTACATCATGTTACTCCATTGCCTTCAATGATATGTAATAAATTGCCTTTGAGCGCTGTGAATTATTTTCTACCTTTTGTAGTTATCTATCAAATTATATTATTAGACAAAAGTTGTTAATTTGAATGTTCATATTTAGATTTATATATATTTTAACACAATTTTCCTTGACTTTAATTTTAAAAATACCATGCATGAAAGTAAATGAATAAATTTATCATGAAAAAAATAAAAAATTTTATTTTTTATATTAAATACATATAAATCAAATTACAGATAAATCTCAGATTTTTAAATCAAATTTAGAAATTCAACATTTAAAGTATATCGAAAGAAATTGAAACAAAAGGATGCTTGTGTATTTAGTGAATGGACAAAACACGTAAAGTAATGCAAACATTTTTGAATTTTCACTATTTACTGTCATTTGAAAGTCGTGTCAGAAAGGTATTTACATTACGAGGGTTGTCCTAGTACAAAAGACAATGTTCATAACTTTGTAAACATTCAATCATTACTTACTAAATTTCGAATCGTCAGAATTTATTCAATTTTGTTTTTTTGATTGTGAATTCAAGTTTTTAAATCATTTTATGAGTATCTGTCGGTAAATTCCTAAGTGCAGATCGTCAGTCTAGTCTTTTATTTCTGTAGTAGATATATGAACTAACATATCGATATAAAAGATAAACTTACGGGTGTACTTTTCGTGGAAAGTTGATACAAACGAACTTTTATAAAAGATCCTGAAAATAACAACCTTAGTTATATTATATGAGTGTTTGCTCCATTCCTATTTTGGTATGTAAAAAAATGGAGATAATGAACAGTATTCAAGATCAAAAGTCCATAAAACAATACAAACCAGCAGGCATGTTTACGAAAATTTCCTAAGATTGTTCATAAAGAAATTTCATAAAACATATCTTAGGAAAATTTTAAGATCATCGTAAGATTATCGTAAGCTGTTTTTCAAAGCTATTTTATGATTATCCTAAACTAAGACGTCTTAAATCATTATGACATAGAAATACGCAAAGTTTTACACCATTGTCAGGAATCAGAGAGTTGTCATTTTTGCTATATAATGCTACACGTTATGTCATTATGTCATCGTAATGAAAATATTTAAAAGAGTAAAAAAAATTAGAAATGATTTTTTTAGAAAATCTTTAAATATAAATACTGTATATTATTAAAATAATCATCTTATTTCGACAATAAGAAAATCTGTAAATATAGATACTTTAAATTCTTAAAATAATCATCTTATTTTGACGATATTCTGAAAAATAAAGTTCAAATAGAGTACAATTGAATATCAGAATTCTTGAAGATGAAAAGCGCCAATTTGCTCGGTGGAACCCTTATTCATTGACAATTTCTGGTTCGACGAGAAAACACACAGCAGATGAGTTGAAAGAGAAGCCCTAAATTTTCTCAGATTAAAAATCAAATCAAAATACTGCTTGATGAGGTGGAGAAACACAAAGTCATTTTATTTTCAAAATTTTCCAACTTTTCTACAAATTCTTTAAAGAAAAAGCATTGTAGGCAATAGAAGGCAGCGGAAAATCGAAGGGAAGCATGCAAACCTGTAGGAGGCGGTATCTATACGTATGTCAGAGCTAGGTCACCGAAAAAAAAAACATTATACATGTTATAGAAACATGTGAACTCTCTCTTTCCCTCTCGCAGGTTTAAGTGAGATTCAATTGTTTTAATCTGTTACTGTTACTTGTAACATGTTACATCTTACTATGTATGTGGTGCATCTGCATGAGGCACTGAGTGCCATAAGAAATCTATAACCATGGGTATTCTTGGAAAGTATATGCATGCAGACAAGCGTAATTTAACATCAGGAAGGGGGGGGGGGGGGGGTTATGACCAGAAATACACATGATATTGCATGCTTTCTGAGGGCCTCCTCATAGAAGGACGTTTGAATTCATTTTGAAATTGTTCAAATAAATCATGGATTAAGAATCTTGAAAGCCTACACCTTTTAATTATAGCTTCATCATCAAGGTAGTCAAAAGTGTTATCAATATCTCTATATTCTCTGTCATGTCTGATACGACGATTTCGTCGAGCAAGCAACAACCATGGGCGCTTGGTTTCCAAATGGTGAATTTTGCATTATTATGTGTTTTCTAGGTGTGTCTGATTACTCTCGTTAAAATAAAAATAAAAAATCGCTAAAATTAGCATTTTTAAAAAATGTCGTGTGACCGTAATGCGACCATTTTTGCTTAAGATAGATTTAAGATATGTCAAAAGCTGTCTTAACTTTAAAATCATTCTTAAGAACTTTCTTAAGTTACGATACTTTCGAAAACCCCACTTAGTTTTAAGAAATGTTGTAGGTATATCTTAATGCATTTCTTAGTTCTTAGATAGCTTCGTAAACATGCCTGCAGTGCTTTTGCAGTTATCATAAATACAAAAGTATAAAATCATATTTTAAGAAAGATTCCTAAATTGAAAGTTCTAAATACGAGTTATAGGGAATGCCAACATAAAAAAAATAATACTCATGAAGAGAGTATTTGGTAAGATATTAATATGAATTATCTTTATATTATACAATTTTATCAATTTGTTTTACTGAGGACTAACACTGAAATACATGGAATACTTTGCTGCATGCATTCCAAATATCATGTGTTCCAGTTTCTTGATACGAAGGCAAAAGAGAATCCCTCTGGTCGGGTCAATGAGCAGGAGGACGTAGCCACGGTGCCTCTCTCCTGGCTTCTGATAAAGCATCGTACATTAATGGAGGATCATCGAGATATAGTCGTGGATGGTGGACGTTATGTCCAGTACTAGATAGTAATGTCACTGCAGCGTGCAAAAAAAAACTTAGTATAAGCCAATAACATTGTCATGATGATATTTTTTGAAACTGAAAAGAAAATAGAATATATAGGAACAAAATGTACATTTAAACTATTCAGATGTAATGTAAAATAAATGTATGTTCGTTACAAGTTTTTGATGAAAGCAGAACTCTTTTAAACAGTTAAGAATAAACCTGTTTTATCAGTTAAGGTACATTGATACTCTGATAAGAGAGATAACTCTTAATGACACAAATATCTATTATTTGTTTATAAATATGTCAAGCTGAAGTGCCTATTTTGTCAAATTTTGCCCCGCAAGCCATGATAAAATTGTCTGTATTTCATTCAGTACATACTTTTCTTTTGGAAAATCATAAAAGATAATGAAACACTTTAAATAAGTAAGCAGAGGGTTTACACATGTATGTACCTTAATATATAGGATCGATGATACATGTAATCGATAAGAACATAGAAAGTTTACCAGTATGTAATGGGTTAATCGAAAAAGAAAAAGAATATTTGTAAATTTGAATTTTCAAACACATTTTTTTTTTAAATGAACCTTCTGTATTAAAGTTGATAATTAAGCGTTCTCGAATATCTATTCAAGCTTATTTGGAGGTAAGTATGGTTTCCTAATTGATATCGCGGGATTATTTGTCAGTGTGTGAAGTGTTAATTACTGTTATATCATACTGTTACTCCATTGTCTTCAATGAAATAAAATGAATTGCCCTTGGGCGCTGTGAATCAGTGTCTATCGTTTGTAGTTATCTATCAAATTATATTATAAGACAAACCTTGTTAATTTGAAAGTTCACATTTAGTTTTTGTACGCAATTTTTCTTGACTTCAATATTAAAGATACCAAACATTAACGTCAATAAGTAAATTTAACCTAAATAAACCAAGCTTAATATTCTAAGATTAAATACATATAGATTAAATTACAAATAAATCTCAAGTTTTTAAACCAATGAATATTCAACATTGAAAGTATATCGAAAGAAATTTAAACTGAAAAAGGATGCTTATTTGTTAAGTGAAGGGACAAAAAAAGTTAAATAATGGAAACATATCAGAATTAATTGTCATTGTTTTACTGTTATTTGGTACTCATGTCAGAAAGGTAATTATGTTACGAGGGTTGTCCCAAAAGGCATAGACAATGTTTTTAACCTTGTAAACAGTCAACTAATACATTATATATATATATATATCAAATTTTGTATAACCATAATTTATTCAAATTGTTCCTTAAAATTGCGAATTCTTTAAAAATAAATTCTGTCATTAGTAATATTGATAATATCCTGACGATTTTTAGAAAGGCCAAATATGCAAGATGGTCTATTGGCTCACGAACAAAATCCGTATATAACTTTTCGTATTGCATTTATTTCTCTGGTGATATGTAAACTATCAAAATCATTTTTTTATAAGTGAAACAAGAAAAATAAAATTTACATATCAATAGTGCTATAGACAGAAGATTGGTGTCATAATTTTCAAAGCGTTCTTATTATTAAGGTTGCGTTTTTTACTTCTCAAACTGTAAAACTGTTGGCAAAATTGTTATAAGCATTGAGACCTGTACCAAAATTTTGAAATTCATGACCCCAAGATCAGAGGCTCTAGAGTTAGGGAAAGATTCTAATAAAAAAAAATAGTTAAAATTAATAAAATGAATAATATTTTGAATAGAATCTCTCTTTTGTATATAAATAAATTTTGCTTTCAAAGGCCTCATTTGATCTGATAAAAAATTAGTTTATATCGTATAGCCTGGGATGCATACGTCACAATAATTAATGTCAAAACGTTTCATCCTGTTTCACCTTATATCTAAAATATGTTCAATATGAAGCGGCATTTTGTAAAATGGCGGTTTGCACCAATGATGCCAAGCGTCTATACAGGAAATTGAGAAAAGAGTGAGCAGAAAGATAAGAGAAGCCAATTAAGAATTTATTGAAGAAGCTGTTTGTCAAGCAGAAAACACGCACAATGACATGTGGGATAAACGTAAGCAATTTTTACCACTCTAAGAAAACTAGCACAATATGCACAATTCTTATAGACAATCATTTCTTAAAGATTCAAAAGACATTGCTGAATGCTGTTATACTAATTTTTGTAGCATTGGCCTCTAGTAAGGAAAAAGTTTTGATGACGCTATACTTTTGTTCAAGAACAAATGGCCAAAACACTTTCACAATTTTACATCAAATTTCTGATCTTCTAGCAAATGGAATAAAACATTTGTGTAGAACAACGGGTTTGGATAGTATATTTCAAACACTTTCCACAAGCAGTGTTTATGATA